ATTTTGATGAAGCCCAACGTATCTATTTTTGCTTTTCTCACCTGTGCTTTTGATGTCATAGTTAAGACTCATTGCCTCATCCAAGGTTACAAATATTTATGCCTATGTTTTCTTCTAAGAGTATAACAGTTTTAACTCATATCAGGTCGTTGGTCCATTTTCAGTTATTTTCCAAACTGAAATATGACATGAAGCAAGGGTCCAACTTCATTCTCTTGCACAGACAGTTATCTTGGCACCATTTGTTCAAAAAAAAAAAATTCTTTCTCCACTGAATTGTCTTAACACCCCCGTCAGTAATCAAATGACCATAAGTTTACTTATTTCTAGACTTTCAACTGTATCACAATGATCATATGTCTGTGCTTATGCCAATTCCACTATTTTTTTAACTCCACCCTCCACACTGTGAGTATACCTTGTAGTAAGTTTTGAAACAGTGATACGAATTCTATGAATTTTAGAATCAGCTTGTCAATTTCTCCAAAGAAGCCAGCTGGGATTTGATACAAATTGTCCTGAACTTAGAGACTGATCTGAGGAATACTGCATCTGAACAGTATTAAGTCTCCTATCCATCAGCTTGGGGATGTCATTCTATTCATTTTGGTCTTATTTCAATAATATTTTGTAGTTTTCAGAATACAGAATTTATACTTCTTGTTAAATACATTTTTATTTTATTCTTTTTGAATAAATAATTTATAAATTGAATTGTTTTGTAATCTTCATCTTTGGATTCTTCATTGCCACTACAGTCATACATCACTTAATGATAGGGATAATATTCTGAGAAATACATTGTTAGGTGATTTCATTGTTGTGCAAACGTCATGGAGTGCACTTACACAAACCTAGACACATTAGCCTACTACACATCTAGGCTATATGGTATTTCCTATTTCTCCTAGGCTGCAAAACTTTACAGCATGTTATCCTATGAATACTGTAGGCAACTGTTAATACAATGATAAGTATTTGTGTATCAAAACATCTAATCATGGAAAAGGTATCAGTAAAAATATGATATTGTAATCTTATGAGACTACTGTCACAAAAGCAGTCTGTCATTGAAAGCAATGTTGCTATACAGCATGACTGTATACAGAAATACAATTGATTTTTGCATATTTATTTTGTGTCCTGCAACTTTGTGAACTTGTCTATTCCTGCTAATAGTTTTTTTGTGGATTCTTTAATGTTTTTCTCTATGTAAGTTCATGTCATATGTAACAACAGATAGGTTTAATGTGAGGTTTTCATAAACGTCCTTTATCAGGTCAAAAAAGTTCCACTTAAGTTATAGTTTTTTGAGTTTTTCTTTTTTAGCATGAAGCGGTATTGAATCTTATGAAAAAGCCTTTCCTGTTTATTGAGACTATCATGTAGTTTTTGGTAAGGTAGATTATATTAACTGGTTTCCAGATTTTTAAACCAAATCTGTATTCCTGAAATAAATCCAATAGTCATGGTGTATAATCATTTTTTTATATATTCCTGATTCCATGTACTTATATTTCATTAAGGATTTTCGTGTCTATAATCAAAAGGTTGGTCTGTAGTTTCTTTTCTTGAAATATATTTGTTTGGTTTTGGAGTATTGACATTTGGGGCCAAATAATCTGTTTTTGTAGAGAAATATCCTGTGCATTTTAGGATGTTTAGCAGCATCCCTGGTGACTAGCCATTAGATGTCTTAGAGTAGCTTGTATATTAAGCTATTTCTTTCACTAGCAAAGGTAATCACCACATGCTATCATTCTGTTATCACGAGAAGTTTTCTCTTGAATAAAAAGATTTTACAATTTACATTGGGTGAATTTTCTGATTCTTTTCCAAAAATATCTTTTTGAAGTTGTGACCACTCCAATCTTAATAAAAAACATCCAAAATGGCAAAAGCATTTATTTCTAACAACAACAAAAAGATGATTCCTTTGAATTTCATAAATTTAGGAATCAGGATAATTCTAGCATAAAAAATATCTAATATCCCTCACATTCTATTTATTTTATCACACTGTTTTTCTCTGAAACAAACTAAACTCTCAAAATAACTTTAGAACCTCACGTCTGCCTTAACAAAACTTCACTTACATCATCCTTTAGAACAATTCCTGAAATGGTATATGTTCTCAAACTACCTAAAATGTAATGTTCTCAATATGTTCTCAAACTACGTCTACTGTAATGGCAGAAGGACCTTTAAATAAATGCATATCATTATTTTTATGAAATATGCAGCAATGTATGTGAAAGCATTTACTAAACAAGGCAACTCAAGAGAAATTTAATTTCCCCTTGATAACACAGCTTTTGGTAAAACTTCAGCAGCATAAAGTATGTTTATAAAGTAATGCAAGTGAATTTTTCATAAATGAGAATATTCATTTTTCCAAACTAATCACCTTAAGAAGCAACACTATTTTTGCAAAATATAAGAACTATAGAATTACTTTTTTAGAATTATATTGAGAGTCAAATTACATGCCACTCATAAACATCACATTTCATTTTTAAGCAACAGTAGAGTGCCAGTTTGATCACCATCTTTATTAATTAATCTTGGTTTCCAATGACCATTTGGCAATTTCCACTGAAATACACCCTCACAGAATGAAGAATTCCTTCCTTCTTTCATTAATCCTGTATTAATACAACATATAATAATAACAGCTAATAAAAGCCTACTAGGTGCTGGGCTTATGCCAGATGCTGGGAATATGTACAAAGTGGAGCACTTTATGTCTTTAGGCTTTGGCTCCATGGAAGTACCCAACAGGTAGATGAGACTATACACCAAGTCACTAGCAGAGCTAGTTTCCTGACCATCCTCCACCACCAATTATAAGATGCAAAAGTTCAGCTTCACTCAATTTATCAAGAGGTTGACCTTGAGGTAATTTGAAAATAAGCTATTTTAATTTCAGTATATATAGACCCCTTGCTTGGTATTATTCTTACTTCAAATGAAATACGAGGAGGACAGGCCAGGCATGGTGGCTCATGCCTATAATCACAGCACTTTGGGAGGCCAACACAGGCAGATCACTTAAGGCCAGGAGTTTAAGACCAGCCTGGCCAACATGGTGAAACCCTGTCTCTACTAAAAATACAAAAAATTAGCTGGCTGTGGTAGTGTGCACCTGTAATCCCAGCTACTTGGGAGGCTGAGGCAGGAGAATTGCTTGAACCCAGGAAGCAAAGGTTGCAGTGAACTGAGATCACACCACTACACTCCAGCCTGGGCAACAAAGCAAGACACTATCTTAAAAAAAAAAAAAAAAAAAAAAAAAGTATACATATATATACACACACACATATATATATATACACATATATATGTATATATATACATATATACACATATATACATATATACACGTATATATATATATGTGTATATATGTATATATATATGAGAGGAAGACACATCTTTTCACATCCAAATTCATTTACTTCTAAACAAAACAGGCCCTGATTTTTAAGTTAGTTTCCTTATTCCAACATTAAAACTTCTTTGCTTGGTGATGAAAGAACAGAAATACAAGTCTTAATGGGTGAGCTATTTATCATTAATGCTACCTCACTTACAGAGTCCCTATCATGAACAAGTCAAATTGGTAGGTAGCTTGTCACCTTTTCTTTATGAAGACCCAACACAACCAACCACACCGATCTCTCCAGCAAGTTTATTTTTGAAGCTTAAAGTAGAGTCCATGAGGGTATAAAGTGAAATCCAATGAGGGTATAATGCCAGGCTGACACTTCTTAAAATAAAACATTTTGGCCACACTAATACATGTATAGATTAATACAATACCCAGGTTCAGAAATGAAACACTGGTTAGAACTTCTCTATGCCACATCCATCCCCAACCTTTACTACTTTCCCTTCCTCCCTGCTAGAAGGAACTCTGCTTATGAATTTTTTGCTATTCCCCTGCATGTATTCATTTATTCCCTAAGTATATATATATTCTTAAGCAGGATATAGTATGATTTCACATGTTTCTAACTTCATAGAATGGTGTCCTTCAGCAACTTTATTTTTGGCTTAATATACTGCTAATAAAATTTTAAATATTGGTCATATATTAATAGCTCTAGTTCATTTTCATCACTATATAACATTACATTGCATGAATATAGCACAAGGATCCCTGACAGGCATTTAGATTGCTTTTAAATAGGATAAAATTGCTTTCAGAGAAATGATGCACTGTTCTATTGTATCATTAAATAGAACGGGAGAATGTGGTATTTCTCCTATGATACCACACAGGAGAACATACACCAAAGACATTACAAAAAGAACCCCAAGAAATCTGCCTTTCTTCGACTCTCTCCAGCAACCTCGAACCAGCACCTCTGTTTCCTAGTTAATTTATATTGTCATTTTGCTGAGATAGCACCTATCTGCCCTCCCACCTGTGCAGAATGGGACAGAGATGGTGTATCCGAATCAATATAATGGAGGGTGATTCTTGACAGCCAAAGAGAAAGGGATGGTGAAGGCAGACTATAAAAAGACAAGTATCCAACTTTTTTCTATTCCACTGATCATTAAACTAGTATTTTCCTAGAATGTCAATTGTAAGCTTTTAAATTTCCAAAATGCACAGTTAATCACTCTTGTAAAAAGCTGTGTTAGAAGCTGGTCCTTTTATCTCTAACTTTATGGTCGCTGAAACCAAGAATAAGAAAGGTGGCAAAATTTTATGAATACTTTTTAATACTATTTCTGGATCCAGTTAGTATAAAGCACAGTTTTGTAGTCAAAACTATATCAAATAGCTATCATGAATACAATTTATTTGACAGAATTCTATCAATAAATTTTTAATATTCTTCAGCAACAATACCAAACAGCTCATCCTTGCACTTTAGTATTCTATCAATAGCAGGTAAGCTTCTCTAAGTACAGTACTACCAAATTCAATTTAAGAAACGTTCATAATATGACCTCCTCCTTTTGTTAATTTTGGAGGAATCACTTACTCAGGTTTGGAGAGCATCTTCTCCAAGTTGAATTCTTTAAGGTATTTTATGATGGCAGCCAAAGAGCAAATCACAGGCTTCTCTAAGTTAATGATGCCAGAAATAATTTTAGAACCTAGCAAACAGAATATATTAACTTGTTATAAAGAAATTTTTTAAATAAATAATAAAATTTAAAAATGTAATAAACAGAATCATTAACTTGTTACCATTATTAAACACAAATTTTAAGTAAAACTTTATGGTTATCAAAACAGTAATTTAGACAATATCCCCTAAAATTGCCCTTTGGAAAAATGTAAATCACTACTTATACCCACAGTATGGAAAAAAAGGGCATTTTTCTGATGGTGAAATGAACCTTTTTTGGAGAACAGGGTATTTTTTCAAAATGTAAAACACTCATTCCCTTTGTCTAGAAATACTCCAAACTGCATGTTGAGATGTGTGTATAAGGAGGTAACTTGAAAAATCTTTTGGAATATTAAAAAAACTAGAGACCACCTAAATAAACATTAACAGGGTAGCAGTTAAATAAAGTTTAGTAAATCCTGGTTATTATGCACCAACCAAATGGAATGACTTCCAGTTATCTGCACTGATATGGAAGGCCATCCATAACATGTTGCTAAGTTGGGGAAAAAAGTTGTCTGATCATTCTCATGTCTCACCACAAACACTGCAACAGCTTTCCATCTGGTCTCACTGCTTCATCCTTGCACCCTACAGGGTATTCTAAACAGAGCAGCCAGTGGAATCTCTTTTTAAAATACACATTAGATCATTAGACTACTTTGCTCAAAAGTCATCCAACATCCCCCAACTCATTGAGAGTAGAGGCCAAAGTTCTTACAGTGACCCTGCGACAATCTGCCTGCTATCTCCTCTTTATTTCTGAGCTCACTTCCTAATGGTCTCCCTATCAGTTACTCTGTTCCAGCACACAGACTACTTGCTATTCCTCAAACATGCCAAGCACCCTCCCACCTTAAGATATTTTGTACTTACTGTTGTCTCTGCCTGAAATACTGTTCCTTCATATGTCTATGTGGCTTTTTCCCTTAACTCCTTCTATCTCTATGCAAATTGTCATTCAAGTGCCATTTTCTCAGTGAGGTCTTCCTTTACCATCCTATTTAAAAGTTCAACCCATTCCCCTGCCTTGTTTTTCTCATAGCACTATCACCTTCTAACACACTAGTTTATTTTATTGTCCATCTCTCATCATTAGAATGTAAACTCCAAAAAAGCAGGAATTTTTGTCTGTTTTATTCCTTATTGTACACCCAATGCCTGGCATATAGAAGGCATTCAAAAAAGTTAGCTGAATAAATCCCAGTTACGTTAAACAAATACAAGAACTATGTGTGTATGTGCATGTGTGTATGTGTGGATTTTTACACAAGGATACATGACAAACTGTTAATGATAACCCCTCCAACATATAAGAGACCAGAGGACAACTTTGAGGGCAGGCCCTCTCCTTTTTTGTTTATATACAACTATGTTGTTTGACTTTCTTGCAATAAGCATTAATTACTTTTAGAAGTAAAAAAAACTTAAGTATTACAAGATGCCCTCTACAAATCAGTAATATAACATATGTTATTAATTTTAACTGTAGGTGTTTATAAAACCAGGTGTAAATGAAGGGATAACAACACCTTTCCATTCCACTGAGAATTTGATTTTAACTTTCTAGCTTTGTTTCCCTGAAAACGTGATAAAGATGGTGTATCAATGTGTTATAAGGTAGCGCTGCCTATGGGAAAAATGACCAAATATCAGTAAATTATATCTGGACTGAGAAGAATTATAAATACCTGACTCCAGAGTTTTGGCCTTCCCTTAGTGCACTAACTTTTGTAACCTGACATGTCTTTTGTAGAGACTGCAGCAAGAAATACAGGCTCCTCAAGGGCCTGGAGCTTCTTAGCCAAGGTGGCTCTTACACTCACTTGATGCAAGTCTCCTTCCTTCACACACTCTCCTGGACACTGCCACAAAGACTGCCATGAGGACTAACCCACTAAGAGGAGCACATGCTCTGCTTGCAAGCTATGTTTTCTGGCCCAGATCCTTTAACTAAATCTGATACCACGAATGGGTCATGATAGTGTTGGAACTTACGTCTTTAGTTGAAAATAAGAAGACCTCTTGGTAATATGGAATACTGGTGTTAGATGTGGGATACAATTGGCTAGGTGTGGTGGCTCATGCCTGTAATCCCAGCACTTTGGAAAGCACTTGGGAATTCAAGACCAGCCTAGGCAACATGGCTAAACTTCATCTCTACAAAAAATAGAAAAATTAGTTTGGTGTGGTGGTACATGCCTGTAGTCCCGCTACTCAGGAGTCTGAGGTGGGAGGATTGCTTGAGTCTGAGAGACAGAGGTTGCAGTGGGCTGAGATCGCACCACTGCACTCCAGCTTGGGTGACAAAGTGAGACCTTATCTAAAAAAATGAAAAGAAATGGGATACACTCTAACCAAGATGGCTGATCACTAGTAGCTCGGGATTGTAGCTCCCACTGAAAGCGCAGAGAATGAGAGGACGCCACACTTTCAGATCAATTTTTGTTGCTCACGCACCAGGAGATTCCCAGCGGAGGAGCCCCACGGGTCGCCAGC